GGTTGTCCCTCACTAACCCCCCTGCTGGTCTGGTCACCCCACGCAGCCTACTGTTCAGTCGTTTGGTCATCCCTCACTAACCCCCCTGCCAGCCTGGTCGCCCCACGCAGCCTGCTGCTCAGTCGTTTGGTTGTCCTTTGGGCCGGCCCTGGGTGGCTGGGGTGCTGAGGGAACTGGGCGTGGCCATCTTATGGCTGTGGGCGTGGCCATATTTGAGGGCGGGACAGTCAATTAGCATATCCCCTTTTTATTGGCTGTGGGTGTTGCCATCTTTGTGATAGCGTGAGGGTCAATTAGCATATTCCCTCTTGATTAGATAGGGTACTGCCTTTCACAGAGCAAAAAACTTTTAATTTTGATGAAGTCTAATATATCAATTTTTTCTTTTATGGATCATGCTTTTAATGTCATATCTAAGAACTCATTGTCTAACCCAAAGTCAAAGATGTTTTCTCTAAAAGTTTTATAGTCTTTTTCCTCATTGAATGGCCTTTGCACCTATGTAAAAAATCAGTTGGCCACCTCACACCTGTTGAGTGGCCATTACCAATAAGACAAGCAATAACAAGTGTTGGAGAGGCTCTGGAAAAAAGTGAACCCTCATTCACTGTTGGTGGGAGTGTAGATGGTACAGCCACTATGGAAAGCAATCTGGTTTCAAAATTGCCTTTGTCTTAGTTTATACAAGGTTGACTATGTGTTTTGGTGAGAATTTCTTTGTGTTTCTCCTGTTTGGGGATTGCTCAGCATCGTCAGTATGTAGGTTTATGTATTTTACCAAATTTGCAAAATTTTCAGCCATTATTTCTTTGAATATTTTTTCAGCACTCTTTTTTATTCTCTTTTTCTGATGACCTAAATATTTAATCTTTTGTTATAGTCCTTCAGGTCTCTGAGACTTTATTTTTTTCTTGGTTTGGTCTGTTTTTGCTCTGTTGTTCAGATCAGGAAATTTTTTATTGTGCTTCCTTTCAGTTCACTGATTCTTTCCTTTTCCCCCTCTATTCTGCAGTTGAGCGCATCCACTGGGTCTTTACATTTTACATCATTGCAATTTTCAGATCTAAAAATTTCATTTCATTCCTCGTTATACCTTCTTTTATGAGACTTTCTATTTTTATTTGTTTTAAGCATATTCATGCTTGCTCATTGAAGCATTTATATACCGAATGCTTTAAAGTCTTTACCAGATAATTCTAACATTTCTGTCATCCCTGATGTTGACATTTATTGATTATCATTTTTCATTCAATTTGAGATTTTTCTGGCTATTGGTATAATGAGTAATTTTTTATTGAAACCTGGACATATGTATTATGAGACACTTGACCTTATTTACACTTTCTTTTTAGCTGGCTTTACTCAGAGCCAGCAGAGGAAGGTAGAATTTTTCTTTGTTACTGCCAAGTGGGAGTCAAAATCAAGGTTCTCTACTCGGCCTTCTTGTCCCCACTTGCCCAAGAGTGGGGTGCTCATCATTATTGCTGGGTGGGAGTAGGAATTGTGGCTCCCCAATAGGCCTTCATTGATATCTCTCTGACTGGGAGGGGAGTGGTGCCTCATTATTGCTCCCCACTTGGCTTTCGTTGACACCATGGATGAGGGTGGCCTAGTTACCACTGGGCGGTGGTGAAAGCCCTGACTTTCCACGGGGCCTCCTGTGACACCACCTCCCAGGGAGGAGAGGGGATGCTTCGCTACCACCAAGTGAGGGTGGAGTCCAGGCTACCCATGTGGTTTCCATTGTCACTGCCCAGCAGGGATCAGTGTCCCAGTTTCATATTTATTTTCTCTGGCACTGATACCCCGGCTGTGGGGAGGGAGGTGGGATGGGTGCCTGGTGAGGGTGGCTCCTCCTGCACCCTGCTCAGCCTTTGCTTGTGTGGGTGGACTAGGAAGACAGGTTTTTCTGTAGTGTTTGGCGGAGCAGTTATTGCCTATAAATAACTCACTAGGAAAGTTACAAGGACAAGGCTTTGGTTGGGTTGTTGTGTCTGCACCCATTGATATTTCAGGTCTCAGCCTCCTAAGCTCCAAGTTAGGAACATCAGAAGGAAAAAATCCTACCATCCATTTCTTGGGTCCAGAGATTCCTAGCCACTCCACCTTTTCTCCACCTGCAGTTTTCTTATGTTTGTTTTGTATATAATGTCCTTGGTTTTGTTTGTACTTAGTGAAAGAAAGAGGTGAAATATGATTACTCCGTATTCCAGAAGCACAAGTCCTGTCACTCACTGATTTTTTAATACATCGTTCTTTCTTCAATATTGTATACGTATGTTACAATCTTTGATGAGTTCAGTCTCTCTCTGCACTCTTAGTGTTAACTTGTCTTCATGTGAATTGGCATTTTGTGTGAGTGTTTGTGAGAGAGAGCGTGAGTGTGGGGAGGAGAGAGAGAGCACACAGGTGTGGAGAACTCACGCCTGAGCCTTCCCTCCGAGCATCTCTGGGCGCTGAGTCGGGAATGCTGTTCTCCAAAGACTTACATCTCCCTCGGCCCTGAGGCGGGGGTTGCCCACAGATCTGGACCATTCGGCCAGGTCCAGGTTCTGTCCCTGAAAATCTCAAAGACAAGCTCCTTACTGGCTGGGGGCCCGACACTGGTGGCCGGATCTCCGTGTCGACATTGCGTGTGCCACCAGACTGTGCTGTGTCTGTGCTGGCAGTTGTTTTTATTGGAGGTATAACAGGGAGACACCCCATCCCACAGGACTGGAAGGGGCCTGGTCTCAGACTATGGGGCCACTGCTTAATTCTGTTCCCTCAAACACTGGTCTGGGAAGGAAAAAAGTGTGTTTGTTTTATTCACCCAGGTTGCAGTCTGTAGCAGGAGACTCTGCAGAGTATCTTGTTTGCAAATATGTTACGTTGCTGGTCAATTTCAGTATTACTTGTATTTTCTCTTAGAAATTGTTGCTCCTAATGTCCCCCCTTTTCCCATCTCTCCACAAGAGAAGGTAGTGGGGAGTAAGTATGAGAGCACGCTCCTCATTTGTTTATTTGGCTGACAGATTTCTCATTTTTCTCTTTAGGGCAGAAAAGACTGAAGTTCTGAGTGAAGACCTCCTTCAGGTAAGGCTGCCCGGCTCAGCTGATGGGCACCGAGGCTGTCCTCCCTGTTAGACCAGGCCATTCCCAGTGCCGTGTCACCGTCAGCGCTCCCACCCAGGTCTGTGGAGAGACACTCTCTATCATTTGCAACAGTCCCTGCCATTCTGAATACCAGTTTGGGTAATATTTTTAGGAGACATTTAAAATCGTTTCTTTGTGCGGTTAGCAGTGGCCCCATAGTCTGAGACCAGGCCCCTTCCAGTCCTGCGGAACGGGATGTCTCCTGGCAGTCCCCTCTCTGCAGAAGCACACGGCAGACGCTTCCCTGATGTCCAGACCTAGGACCCCTCCTGACCTTGCCCGCACCCAGTGACGTCACCCCCTGCTCTGTGTGCAGGTGGAGAAGCGCCTGGAGCTGGTGAAGCAAGTTTCCCACAGCACGCACAAGAAGCTCACCGCGTGTCTCCAGGGCCAGCAAGGCGCCGAGGCCGACAAGCGCTCCGTAAGTGCCCTCCCAGCCCCGGGCAGGTTCAGATTTGCTGCTGAGGACAGGGGTCCCTCTGATGACAGGGCTCCCTTCGATGACAGGGTCCCATTCTTAGGGCTGTGTTTCCTATCGCTGTTTATACAGTCACTTCTGTGTCTGAGAATCGACCTCCGGGATAGCTCCCTGTGTGACGGCCCCTCCCTGCCCTTGAACCCCGTCTGGAGCATCCTCTGCCCGCACCAGGCAAGGTTGCAAGTTTCTCCCCGTGTCCTTATCTGGGCAGCCGGGCGGCTTGAGATCCCACTTTAGGGGGCTTTACCCTTGCTCTTAGCCCTGCTGCAGCTCATTCACAGGTTCCACGGCCTCAATAGTGTCTTAAGGCCTCATGGGAAAAGTTATACTGTTTTTGGAGGTTACAGTGACCGGTAAAGGCCCTGGAAAACAGTTTTTGCTCTAAGGAAACAATAAAGAGCGTGCTAAATGAAAGCACTCTAGTGTCTGTGATAGCCCTCATTAGTAATAAGGCGCTGCATCATGTGATCCCAGTGGATAGTCCTAGTGTAGACTGTCGGTGCAGACTCACTTCACTTCCGAGACCCCCGCCTCCTAATCTCCACCAGAGTAAAATGTATCCTTAGATGGGATATGCTAACTAGGAGGTTTATTTTTCCTTCCTTAAATTTACAATCAACATGTTTGGTGGCTAAGTTTTTTATTATTTTTTTAATCCTCATTGGGTTATTTTTCAGTTGATTTTAGGGGGGGGAGGGGCGTTTAACAGAGAGAAACATTGATTGGCTGCATCCTGTACACACCCTGACAAGGGATCAAACCAAAAACCTGGGTATGTGCCCTGACTGGGAATCAGACTCACAACCTTTTGGTGTGTAGGGCAACCCTCCAATCAACTGGACCACGCCGGCCCTGGCTGTTTGAGTTTTTTCTGACCTGGAGTTACCGTTGGCTTTTCGTTTCCTGCTGGTCCCCCAGAGCATGCCTGCACACACAACTGTGTCGGCCTCATTTCTATTGGTTGCCGTGGAGTGCGCCTGCCTGACCCTTCATCCATCTCATGCTGCAGGATGGGACCCATTCCACATGCTGTCAATCATTCCATTTTCTTCCCAGCCCGGTTCTATCTTTTCTAATATTCCCAGCAGGAATCACTCACGTGTGGTAGAAATAAAATGTTCGCAGCTTTGAAAAATGTCCATCAGGGATTTCAGCAAGGGGAACCTGGACAGTCGAAGGGAGAGTTTGCAAAATTGCTTTGGACATGAAACCCTTTAACCAAAGAAACCTCAAAGTGAGTCTCAGGAGCCATTCTGTGTGGGAGCCGGCAGCCAGGCCTGCCTATCGCCCACCTCCTTTATTTTGTTCCAAGAAGCACTGTTCTTAAAATCATGCATCTACAGCCCAGTGTGTCTTGGTATAGTGAGTTGCCTCCTGAGGCTTGAAACTGGCCTTGCTGTTGATTGCTACTAGCATTATTGGTCCGGGATAAGGTAACGTTACCTAGGTTTGTAGAGTTTTAATTGGATTGAGGGTCTTGCAAATCATCTCCGTTAGGAGGCATTTGGCTCCCTGAGGGTTCTAAAATATAGTGTATTAATAGAAAAGTTGAGATATGGCAAGGTCAACAGGTTGGGGGATGATTGGCATGAGAAGATAGTTTGCGACTTACATTTCCCCAGAGGAGGGGCATCCATGCCACTCAGGGCTGCACGGAGAAGCACCAGGGTCAGTCAGGAGGCAGAGGGAGAGAAACGTGGGCCAGCGCCCTGTTGTAGCTTCCAGGGGAAGAAGCAGATGAGGCAGCTGAGCAGGCTCGGGTTGGCTAGTTTGAATGCTTTCAGCGGCTGGGGGACACAGTGGCTGCCCTTAGTTGTCTGGAAGCTGGGGGATTGGGGCAGGTGGGTGGTGACCCAGAGTGTGAGACCCCGCCCCCCTGTAAAGGAAGTGGTGGGGGCTCCCCATTGGTTGGTTTGCGTTTGAAAGGCACATTCTTGGGAGAGTTAGTTACTGTCCCTAGGAATTGGCTAACCCCGGGAGGGGCAGTCCTTCCAAGGTAAGCCAGGCCCCAGATGCCAAAGCCTCAGAATGGAAAAAATAAAGAACATAGTTAATTAATACAGGGATTAATCGTGAGTGACTGACGGCAGCATAAAGGCACTTCATGTCTCGCTTAACTTGTTGGAAGTAGCTGGCCCCAGGTTTGTTCATCAGCTCCAGGCATTAGGTCTACACGGAACCACATGGAAAGCAGGAAGTGTGAGGGTGGTGGGAGGGTTCTTATCCGGGAGAAAAATATCCTGCCCAGAACATTTTCTTTCATGTCTCCCTACCTAGCTGCAAGGGAGGCGAGAGGCGAATGTGTGTCTGAGAGAAATGGGTTTGCCATGACTGTCCATGATTCACCTGCAATCATGCATCTACAGCCCAGTGTGTCTTGGTATAGTGAGTTGCCTCCTGAGGCTTGAAACTGGCCTTGCTGTTGATTGCTACTAGCATTATTGGTCCGGGATAAGGTAACGTTACCTAGGTTTGTAGAGTTTTAATTGGATTGAGGGTCTTGCAAATCATCTCCGTTAGGAGGCATTTGGCTCCCTGAGGGTTCTAAAATATAGTGTATTAATAGAAAAGTTGAGATATGGCAAGGTCAACAGGTTGGGGGATGATTGGCATGAGAAGATAGTTTGCGACTTACATTTCCCCAGAGGAGGGGCACCCATGCCACTCAGGGCCGCACGGAGAAGCACCAGGGTCAGTCAGGAGGCAGAGGGAGAGAAAGGTGGGCCAGTGCCTTGTTGTAGCTTCCAGGGGAAGAAGCAGATGAGGCAGCTGAGCAGGCTCAGGTTGGCTAGTTTGAATGCTTTCAGCGGCTGGGGGACACAGTGGCTGCCCTTAGTTGTCTGGAAGCTGGGGGATTGGGGCAGGTGGGTGGTGGCCCAGAGTGTGAGACCCCCCCCCCCTGTAAAGGAAGGGGTGGGGGCTCCCCATTGGTTGGTTTGCATTTGAAAGGCACATTCTTGCGAAAGTTAGTTACTGTCCCTAAGAATTGGCTAACCCTGGGAGGGGCAGTCCTTCCAAGGTTAGCCAGGCCCCAGATGCCAAAGCATCAGAATGGAAAAAATAAAAAACATAGTTAATTAATATAGGGATTAATCGTGAGTGACTGATGGCAGCACAAAGGCACTTCATGTCTCGCTTAACTTGTTGGAAGTAGCTGGTCCCAGGTTTGTTCATCAGCTCCAGGCGTTAGGTCTACACGGAACCACATGGAAAGCAGGAAGTGTGAGGGTGGTGGGAGGGTTCTTATCCGGGAGAAAAATATCCTGCCCAGAACATTTTCTTTCATGTCTCCCTACCTAGCTGCAAGGGAGGCGAGAGGCGAATGTGTGTCTGAGAGAAATGGGTTTGCCATGACTGTCCATGATTCACCTGCAAGGACACCCTCCAGGGGCTTGTTGGCAGGAAGCCAGGTCTGCAGTGCGGCCAGGCCCTGAGGGCTACACCTGGGGTGGGCAGAGATTAACCTATAAATGAGGCTGACCTGAAGAAGGCTGGTGGAAGTAGACGCTCAGGCATGTACACATCAGTGCTTTCACTACACAGATTTCAAGTGCTTAATTCCATCAGAGATTCCTTTTCTTATCCTCCTATAAGGCAAGTGATCTGGCTGAAAAGAAAGCCAAAGAGCTACTGAAAATATCTAACAGTCACAGACTTCTTGCAAGAAATTTCTGAGACTAAATTTTTCAGTTTTTTCTGAAGTAGCACTTCAAGAGATTTAATGGGGAACAGGACTTATTAATTGCCGCCTATACTGAAATATGTGCCTAGTTCTTTGTGATTATTAGGTAAGGAGATGGGTCAAGATCTAAGGAATGGGTGAAGAGAGAAAGGGAGAAAGGAGGGGAACTAATAGATACAGACAACTGTATGGTGTTACCAGAGGGGTGGGGGTGGGGGGTAGTAAAAGGTAAAGGGGCCAGATATTTGGTTGAGGGGAGATGATGTGACTTTGGGTGGTGGGCACTCAATGCGATATACAGATCATGTGTCACAGAAATGCACACTTGAAACCTTATTAACCAGTGTCATCCCAATAAATTTAATAAAAACAAATAAATAAAACTAAAGTGGGGAAAAAGCAAAAAAGAAGGAAACACTAAGAAAAGAAAACAGAGAGAGAGAGAGCAGAGACCAGGAAAAGTGGTGGTGGGGACAGATGAACAGACACCCGTGGGGCATGGTGTTAAGAGGGGGCCCCAGGATGGACGTTGCCAGAGGGCATGTGGCCATTGAAGCGCGTGCAGTCCTAGAATCTCAGGGTCGGAAGGGACGTTGAGGTTATATAGGCAGTATTCTGCGCTTCAGTTGAGCACATGTAAGTTGTTATTTTTCTCCATTTCTCTTTTAACCAGCTCATTACCTCTTTAGCAGTTTAGTTTCCGTTTCCAGCACTGAAACTTTCATCATACACCTTCACAGGTCTGGCCTGAAAGCTGGGGCTGGCTGCCACATGGGGGGCGGCGGGGGCAGCAAGGTGGGTCCTGTTGCCACTGACTTGATGAGCAGAATTGTATTCCCTGCTGGGCACTGACTTAACCTGGATTCCTTATGTGGGGGGTGGGGCAGAGGGCAGGGACTGGAAAGGATATGAATTTGGTTTCCATCTTGCCTTCTCTAGTTCAGGCTAATAGCTGGTTGATTCATAGATTGTTAAGACTCTCAGTGTAATGGAAGTGTTTGTTTTCGATCACCGTCTTTGCATCTCCCATAGGGAAATCACATCCAACACGTACACCGTTAGCATGTGAAGTATTTCCCCACCTTACTCAACAAATGCTTAGAAAGTACTGAGTCTGGCATGCAAGGTGGCATATATGCCAAGTTCCGAGCACTCAGCAGGACCCCTGCCCTCGGCCAGCTCAGTCCGGAGGGAAGCGGGCATCACACAGAGTTCATCAGTTATGATCATCATGTCTTAGTGCTTAGAACAGTTGCTAGGA